CTAAAATGTCTAAGGAAAGGTTATCAGACCAGTGAGTTGTCTTGCTACTTGGGATGTGCTCAGTTCACATGTAGTCAGTTAAAATTGGAATTACACAAATAATGTTCCAGTTGCAGCAATTCAATAGACCAGACAAATTTTGAGGGAAGCATGGGCAGTAATGCATTTTATAATGCCAAATATAAATTTCCAGATTGAAAATCTGATGTAAATATCACAACGTCCAAATCGGTGTATGTTAGAGAGTTTAATGTGATCTTTCTGGATTGTGTAAACTGTTGTTTTATAGGTGAGTGTCAATATTTTTGAAGAACCTGTTGTCTCTGTCTTCAGGGTCGATGAGCATCGTATTGTAACGTGTCGGCAAACCAGAGGAGTAACTTCTATGGAAATGTCAGAATAGACCGTTGCATAAGAAGTAACAATAGCGATACTGTAATTCCAAAGGTGAGCCGTTGTATCGAGAACATCGAATCTCCATGGTTACGACCAATACGCGAAGTGTTCCCACGGAGACAACGCAATAACAATGGGTTATTGCGTAGGAAACGCGGAGCCAACAAAGCGACGTTTCCACGGCTATAACAGAAGATTCATTTGCCTAGCAGCGGCCAAGGTTATAAAAGCCCAGCTTCGACGAGAAGCCTTCAGTCTCGGAAGAGCCAGCTAAGAAGCCAGACGTGATCAAGCCTTCGGAGAAGAAAGTCTCGGATCAGCCTTCAGAGAAGAGAGTCCAGTGTCTCGCCGAATATTGTGAGCAGTGATTGTAACACTGCAAGTGTAAATGTCTGTAAAGTGTGTGTAAACGAGCGATAAGAATAAACTCGCTATATCGGACAACGGCGTGAACTTATTTGTCGCGTTATACGCCCAATACGTGACAGTATGTTGGTAAGATGGACAAAACAATTTACTCTGAAGCTTTGGTACCAGTCTGTCAACATGGTGCCACTTTCAGAAGAACTTGAAATCTCAATATAAGTGAATCTCTTTTGGTTTCTTTTGTCTGGAAAAAATATGTTAAGTGTATTGAATCCATGAAGAGACTAGTAAGAGATCATAATTCGTATTTTGTTTTAATCGTTTTTCTGTTTGGGAAAATTAACATTATTTACAAATTTATTTTCATTCAAAACAATGATGGTTTAAAGCAATGCTGAATCCAAGGTTAAAAGGAAGTGGCAACTGACCACCTCCAAAAATCTGTTGACACTGTATAATTCATGCAGTTGGCAAGCATCAAGTAAAGCAAGAAACAAGCAAGTTAAATATAATAGGAAATTAATTTCCAAATATTTGTGTTGACTCTTTGCATGAATACTTTCTGATAGCACATTATCGCATCAATAATGTATACTGGTCTGTATGGCAATAAGTACCCACAAGTTTGATGTGTGGTCAGAAAATTATTTGAATTAAGTCACAAATTTATGCTAGTGTCAACTCCAAAACATTTTAACTTAATCTAATGTTTATACTCATCATTTACTTATTTCACATCCATTCTCTTTCTCTAGTTAATTTTCATATACCCTTGAGAGTAAAATATTTAAATTCAACATTGATCACAAGTCATCAATAATAGCATAGCTTAAATAACAACTGATATTTCATGACTGTGGGTGAAACCAAGCAGAATAATTCTTGTTATCAGAAATAACATATTGAGGAATTTTATCTTCAGCAGATTACTAACTTTGATATAGCTTTACAAGATGTCATTGTTTCTCTTTGTGCCACCAAATGACGTATTTTTTTTAATTCGCTTAGTTGGGGGTGGAGTCCAATTGTGTCCACTCAGCATGGCGGCCACTGATTGACCTATTGTAGCCTGCCCCATGTGATTATGATGATGGAGAATTTGGTGGAATGAAGATTGGCAGAGAAAACCTGCCCCAGCGCCACTTTGGCCACCACAAATCCCACTTGACCAGACCCAGGAGCAAACATGGGCCGCTGCGGTGGGACACCAGCAACTAACCGCTTGAGCTATGGCACAGTCAAATGATATATTTTAATTTACAATGAAAGTCTCTGTATACCAGTTTCTATATAATGTTTTTTAACTTATTTATGTCATCCCAAGAGAATATCACTAAAGATTTTTATAGCAGTTTTATTGGCCCTCAGGAAATATCTTTCATATTTTCTTAAAGTGATGATAGTGGATGATCTGTGTATTTGTTTCACTCATTTATCTTTCATTTCTTTATTGCTGAAAGAAAATTAGAAACTTTGCAGTTACATGAGAGGTTATCTCTAGATGTTAGAGTAGTGAATATACTAAAAGACATAATTGAGTATATGTAGTGGGCAGTTTCCATTTTAAGTCTGGTAGCTTTTGAATACTCTTAAATTTTCTTTGTATAATCAGAATATTAGACAGAGCAGTATCCAGGCAGAGGATATGGTATGTACTGTGTACTATGGCATAGCATATGACATTTTTTCTGGTGTATTTTTGATGGCAGTAAGCATTTGTTAGAGCTCTCTGTGAAATAAAAATCTTCTAAACCAGATTTCCTCATATAAAAATATATCCATAGGTTTTCTTAAGTGAAATGCTAAATGTTCACATTCATGTATGTTGCACCAAGAAAATGAAACAGAATTATCAGTGTTCATGCAGCAAAAATTATCAGGAATGAACTGCAAGTAGAAAAACAATGTTTGTGGCTTACACACTTTGACTGTTAATCAGAGATACATTTTTGTAAGAGACTTTTATGATTTTTGTTACAGTATTATAAATTTAAATTCTTATAACATTAGAATTGGGGGCACGAGGTAGCGTAGTGGTTAAGGGGTTATGCTACAAGCCGGAAGGTCGCGGGTTCAAGTCCCAATGAGGTCATTGGATTTTTTCAGTTGACCTAATCCTTCCAGTCGCACTAGGCCCTGGGGTTTACTCAGCCTCTAACAGAAATGAGTACCAGGAATTAATGAAATAATTTTCCTGGGGACTAAAGCATGGCTGGCGCGTAAGGCTGACACCCTTACTGCCATCTTTGAGCTGATTGTCTAGATAGTGTGGGACCCTCGACGTCTCACAACCCTATGGGCCCTCACGGCCTGGTACAGGGATAGCTTTACTTTTTTTTTTTACTTAACAGTAGAATCAGAGAAACTTCTTGGTTTCTGGAGAACAGTCACAACTACAGTATTATGGCAGTTTCTGAATTTTCAGAATAATGAACTGTATTGTGCATACTGTGTAATGGGATTATTTAGTGACTTGAAGTTACCATGTTAACTAATGATTTTACCACGGATCTTATATGCTATTCATTTTTAATGCAATAGACAGACATATAAACTTGTCTTAATAGGCATTAAATAATTATCAGGACAGAAGTTTTAGGTATCGCATCTTTTAAATCATCAGTTATCTCTCTTGAAACACTGTGGACTAAATAAATGCCACATTATTATACAGTGCTATATCCAGAATTCACTGGTCTTAGTAAAGTGAATTAGCATAATATTAATTCAGGTCCTGTATGGCATAGGGAAACGTGATTGTCCCAGAAATTTCTGCTGAGCTAAGTATATATATCTCCACCTTTGATCTTTACATCATCATGGAAAGAACTTAATCAGCTAAAGTTCTACTGCCAACATTGCTCTGAATTAGTAACAAAAAGGACTCTATAATTTATGTTTATTTTACTTTTATTTATAAGTTATGCATCATGTCATGCATAACACTAATATACAGTATACCTTCCAATTGAATTTTTTGTTTTTCAATACTGATTTTTTATTGAAATATTTTCATGCTACATGTTTCATTCTCTTGACTATCATAGGACGTTTTCTAGATAATAAATTTTGTCATTACTTGCAACTAACCGCTTATGCAACAGATCATTTGTTCTTAGTCTTGTCGTGTAGGTTCAAAAATACACAAGTATGTATACATAAAGTACGTGATGTTTTATATATATAAATACAAATATAACTAAAATGTTTGTCATCAGTTGGTAGATTTTACTGTTTCTGGGCAATACCTAGTTATTAGAGCAACAAAATTGAAATCCTACAAGAAACCAGGAAACAGTAAAATCTAATACCACCACACTAATTATGAAGAGCTGTAACAGGAAGAGGACGAAGAAACCTACCACAGAACATGAAATAAAACTACACATACATGATAACATATGCCCATTGACAACAATGTAACAGAACATCATAGCATAGTAAATAAGGGCACATAAATGACCAAAGGCAATAATAAGACACACTCATAAAAGCCATGTCACCAAAAAACATCCAAAACAGTCACAGTTTACTCCCCGCCAAATTCCTCCCATAACACCTCCCCCCACCTTATAAAAATAAGAGAGCCCTTTAAAAGCTAAGAAATACAACTCTTTAATGAACCGTCACAACACAGCAAATAGTAAAACATCAAAGTCTGCGTACAGCTGTGGCTTTGCTACATGTTTCGGCCACTATTGACCATCATCAGGCAAATACATATCAACAAAAATCTACCATTTAACTGCAATCATAAAATGAGTCCTTGTTTGCTTTCCATGCAATACCGACAATTCTTAATGACGAGGCAGCATTACACAATTCATTGATTGCTACACCATGGGCCTCTTAAAATCTTCTATATAAAGTAATATTGAATTTCCCTATTGTCTATGGAAACGCACACAGAGTATATCTAACGACTGATTTAATGTTTTTGAAAACATCATTAATATTTTATCTTGTTATAATACTTCCAATTTTTATATAATCTGAACTTTTGTATCTTTACATAAGCAATTTTAAAATTGTACGATTAATAGTGTTACATCCATTTTATGATTGCAGTTAAATGGTAGATTTTTGTTGATATGTATTTGCCTGATGATGGCCAATAGTGGCCAAAACATGTAGCAAAGCCACAGCTGTATGCTGACTTTGGTGTTTTACTATTTACTGTGTTGTGACAGTTCATTAAAGAGTTGTATATTGTAGCACAGCAGGATGCATGAAATTAAGATTAGCTAAGAAATAATCATATTTCAAGAATTTTAGCAATTGACAATTATATTTTATTTATATTTGTATTAATATGTATAAAACATTGAGTACTTATATGTGTTATATGTATTATTTTAACTTACATGACCAAGACTAACAACAGCAGATCTATTGGGTATCCAGCTTAATAGCAAATAATGACACAATTTATTATCTAGAAAATGCCAGATTATGGTCGAAAAACTGAAACATGTAGTATGATAATATTTCTATAGAACATTGGTATTGAAAAGCAAAAATATAGTGATTGACAGGCATATTATATATTACTGTAATCTAGTATCTGGGTGTCATTCTTAATAAATATTGATTTTTACCAGAAACAACCATGGAGACAAGCAGAGAATGCTGACTGATCTCAGTAATATAAAAATTGGACAGTTTTGTATTCGTTCCATGTAATTAAACAAGAAAACTGTTGCTGTTTTTGGATAATTTTGGGAGCAATAAATTATAATAAAAAAGGGTTTTATTCTTATTTGCTAAGAACTAGGAATGGAGAACTCCAATACAGTTGTTTAGTGATATGCTCATTATTGCTTGTCAGATATCAAAAATATCTCATTCTTCAAACAAATCTAAAGCATTCTTTAACAGTAGTTGCAGTATACATTTTTTGGCCATTATGAACAATAAAGGCGACTTTGTATGCCATCACAAGTTCACAATCAGATGTCATGCTAAATACATAACGTATATTCATAATTGTCATTTGCCATAATTTACTTCAACCCACATTAATGGATATGCAAAGACATTTATTTTGTAGTGAAATATAATTCCCATGAAAGGTTATCACAGAGTTCTCAGAGTACACTGCATATGGAATACAATAATTTACAACATTTTACGATTTAAATAAAGTAAAGTGTAGTATTCACCTGAGCCTTTTGCAGGATGTGGAATTAACAATGCATGGCTGCAGCATTCAGTTTATGTTTAAACCATTTGGGCTGTAATAGTTGTAAAGAGTTCATTACTCTCAAGAATATTTTCTAAGTCAGAAAGGGAACACTTCCTTATCATACTTTCTTCATTGTCTTTTCTTTTCAGTATAAAAGAAAAGTACTGCACTCTTCATATGATGTATCGTTCAGAATTATGTGCCTTCTATTCATGGTGGCAACACAAGTTATGCTGAATCTTGACCTGACTGTTTCCCTGTTGATGGGAGGAGAGTTCCTGGCCGTCTTGCTATATTGGCTCTTCTTCTTCCTGACAATAATGAAGAGAGACGATTTTCACGTGGGGCATCATGAGGTTCTGATGTTGCTGCTGTTGCTGTTCCTTCAGCAGTTTCTTGAGTCTCTTCACCACTGCTCTGTTTAACAGCTGATTCTGAATCATCGGTATCTACAACATGAGATAGTGTCAGTGATTGTGACTTCTAAAAGTTGATAAAACTATGTGAAAAATCTCATCAAATTAAATTTAGAGTCTCTGAATATGTTTTTACTTGTAAGTTATATTAATGTTTACAAGTATATATATTTATTTTGGTATACCTGTCAAAACAAACAATCATGGACCACCATGAAAGCCAAAATAGGTTGCAATGATATAGTTTAATGCAGTGAAAACTCAGTTGACATGTGAGAGTGAAAGTGAGGTATTCTTGTTGATTCTTGGGTTTCAAAGGTATACCAGAACATATATATATATAGACACACACACGTGCGCGCGCACACGCACACAGCAGGATGCATTCCTTGAAGATATTATTAATGTTTACTTAAATGCTGTCAGATTAAGTTTTTGTAGTACTAAGGAACATCGGCTGAGAATTTAGGATTTTGTGAAATTTCTTATTGTTTTAAACACAGCAGAGAGTTAGAATTTTCTTAAGTTGCATGACTTAAACATATCCATCCATGGAACAGTTAGTGTTTAGGCTACTAAGAATTATGCTGTTTTGGTCTGAGATTCATTCTGAAGATAAAAGAATTAGAAATTCTGTTAAGACCTTGCATTTTCTTAAATCAGAGATTTTCAATCTTTCAAGATCTTTCCCCACATTAATCCTTTCCTATGTTTCTTAGAATAGGGTCAGTGAAGGTAATGAACCATCAGGTTCCATAAGACATGGGGAATTCTTTGATATAGCTGAGCAGCTATTAGCTTCTCAAGAAATACTTCACTACATTGGGGGATGGGGGGTCAGTAAACAAAAATTATACCATCTCTGTAACAGGCCTGAAGTCCCGTAGGGTTGTGAGACATTGAGACTCACACATTTTCTAGGCAGTTGGCTCACAGATGGCTGTTAGGTTGTCAGCCTTACATGCCAGCTTCCCATTACACCCCAGGAAGATTCCTGATACTCATTTCTGTTAGAGACTGAGTTGATCCCATGGCCATAGTGTGGCTAGAAGCATCAGGTCAACTGAAAAATCCAATGACTTGATCAGGCATCAAACTGGTGATCTTCCAGCTTGTAGCATAGTGCCTCAACCAACTGTACTACCACCAGTAGTTCAGTTATTTTATTGATTATTTACTTTCAATTAAACATTTAATTTATTCAGTAATTTATTTTTCATTACATAAGGTGATGCAATAGTGTAAAAATGTGTGATGGATGCACAGAACACCCAGCAGACTTAATACAGGCTGTGAGTGAGAACCATTGCTTTAAATGTTTCAGTCTGCACAGATGGGTTAGTGGGTATAGTGAACTACTGTGAATGAAGAACATTTGTCTGATATATTTCAGTGATCCAAGACGGCGAATAGTGCTGTTGGCAGTTCAAGTGGTGGTCCAGATAATATAAAAAAACTGCGATAGTAACTGATAAAGAATGTCAGAACTGTGCAAGGCTGAAATTAAAATTGAATAGTATTACATCCGAACTCGAATCTGCTATTGAAATCATTGTTATTCTAAAAGAAGAACTTGCTATTACTGATATGGAGGACAAGAAGGATGATAAGAAAAACTCAACCATAGAACGCAACAAAGATTGTGGACTCAACATACTCGTACTTCAAGGAGAAAGAAATAGAACTCAGGAGCAAATGAATCAACATAAGGAGTAGATGGATAAGATAAGGGACTACAGTGAAATATCCTTGCGAATTAACAATCGGTTTGATGCTCAGACTAACCTCAACTAATCAATGAAATCAACTGTTTTAGTAAATGAAAAGTCTTGTAATTCTAGCGAAATACATAATAAGAATGGCAAAGATTTAATCTCAATAGTAAGAAAAAAGCCAGTGGCGAAATATATACCAGTAATAGTGAATGGTGAAATAGTAAATAACAACTGTGATAACTTTGTGCAATATCCAGGTTTTGTTCATAATAGTCTAAACATAATAAATAATTTCAGACATAATATATTGAAGAATGAAATGAACGAAGTTAATAATCATAATATAATGATTGTAGGTGATAGCCATTCCAATGGAAGTGCAATAAGGGTTGGAGAATATTTAGGAAAGAAATTTGAAGTGTATGGTATGGTCAAGCCGGGTGCACGTGTTGTTGATATGGTAACACAATCTAGCACAAAATATAAACGTCTAACGAAAAAGGATGTAATTGTGTTTCAGGGAGGAGCCAATGATGTATATTGCAGCAATGCTAAGGCTGCATTACAACAGATTATGAAATTTTGTGAGGTCGCTAGTAATACAAACATAATAGTGTCAGACATCCCATATAGATACGTCCTAGAAGAGAATTCCATTGTGAATAAGGAAATTCAGACTTTTAATTGAAAATTAAGGAATGTTACAAAACATTACAATCATGTGACAATAATAGAGCTTAGTTTGAACAGAGAGCCATTCATGCAAAATGGTCTACATCTAAATAGGTTAGGAAAGAGACTAATTGCTAAACAAATAGCAATGGAAATCTACGGACTAATAGAGAGAAACGTAGATAGTTCAATTAGTTTGGAATGGAAATCAGTGACAAAGGTGAACTTAGAGACAATAATTCCTGCATCTTCTGCTTTTGATAATTTGGTAGAGCAACAAAATCATTCTACTAATAGCAAAGAAATGTATCCTGTGCATGAGGATATACAGGTTCTGAGATACTCCACAAGATCAAAAGAGTTGCCTGTGACTAGGAATGGTGATTTTTTATGGGAGATTTAAGTCTGAATTCAGTTAACGAAAATTGTGATAGTAATCCTTCTAGTCAAATAATACTCATGGTATTCTAAGAGATGTTCATTATACTAATAAACCATATTCTTTAAACAGTAAATTAGTTGGTAGTAAAAATGATGACTCACAAAACATATTTAGTATTTTTCATCAAAATATTAAGGGTATGAATGGTAAAGTTGATGAGCTCATGATTCTTTTATATAATCAGCTTCCAAATGTAATTTGTTTGACTGAGCATCATTTGATCGATTATGAAATTGATGCTGTACATATTTCAAATTATAAATTGGGTGCTAAATTTTGCAGAAAAATTTTGAAAAATGCTGGTGTATGTATATGTATACAAGAAGACCTAAAATTTTCTACCATAAATTTATAAAAATATTGTAAGGAACAAGATTTGGAAATTGCGGCCATTCAAATGAAAATAAATAAGGATAAGATAATTATATTTAGCATATACAGAGCTCCATCTGGTAATGTTGATTATTTTCTTAATATACTAGACGTTATGCTCAATTCCTTCTACAGACATAATTTGGAATTTATAATATGTGATGATATTAATATTAATTATATGAAACTAGTAGCAAAAAAACCCAATTAGATGACATGTTAAACACTTATAACCTAATAGGTACTGTATGCTTTCCTACAAGAATTGTTAATAACTCTGCTACCTTAATTGACAATATATTTATTGATAATAGAAGGAGTTATACCATAAAATCATGTACAAATGGATTGTCGGATCATGATGCCCAGCTTATAATACTTAATAATGTCTCTGTATTAAACATGACACCTGAGACTACGTGTACTAGAAATAATAATAACACTATAGCAGAATTTCAATATCTGTTAAGCTTGGAATTTTGGGATGATATAATCAGTAATAATAATGTTAATGTTATGTTTAATAATTTTCACAATACATATTTAAGATGTTTTTATGCTTCCTTCCCAAAAAAGCGAATTAGACACAACAACAAAAACCATAATAAATGGATCACTAATGGGATAAGAATCTCATGTAACAAAAAGAGATAAACTTTTGTTATTAAATAGATATAGTAATAATCTACATTTTAAATTATATTTTAAACAGTAAAATAGTATCAAAAGTAATTTTAGCAGCAAAAACTACACAATAACAAAATCATTCCTAATTCTAACAATAAAATAAGAAGTACTTGGAAAATAATAAATGAAGTAAAATGAAAAATAAAGCGAGACGTAGGTATTCATTCCATTGTGACAGACAATAAAGTAATAAAGAATCAGAATAAAATTGCTGATGCTTTTAACAATTATTTTTTATCTATAGCTGATTCTGTTATACCAGATATTAATAGACATACAAGAACAAGTATAAATAATCCAACTACTTATTTGGCAGATGTTTTTAATAGACCTTTCACCAAAATGAGCTGGCAATATGCCTCTGCTCAGGAAATTTGCAAAATTATAAAATCATTAAAGACTAAAGATTCTTCTGTGTATGATAAGATTTCTAGTAGAATAATAAAATTAAGTGCTCCATTTATAATATCACCATTAACATATATTTGCAATGTGATCCTGAGTACCGGTGTATTTCCAGATAGATTAAAATTTGCCATAGTTAAACCTTGCTTTAAAGAAGGCAACATACAAGAAATCTCTAACTACAGGCCCATTTCGTTGTTGACTTCCTTTTCAAAAAGTATTGAAAAACTTGTTTATTCAAGATTAATCACTCATATTGAAGCTGACAGTATCTTGGCTCAGGAGCAATATGGATTCAGGGCACATCTTTCAACTGAGAAGGTGGCATTTTCATTGATTAATAGCATTCTCACACCCATGAATAAAAAGCAGAATGTAGGAGGTATTTTTTGTGACCTGCAAAAGGCTTTTGATTGTGTAAATCACAAAATTTTGTTGGACAGACTGGAATTCTATGGAATAGAAGGTATATTTAAAACACTAATTAAATCTTATCTAACTGGTAGACATCAGAGAGTTGTTTTGGGTCATATAATTGATGGTAACAATACATCTAAGTGGGAAATAGTTAAATGTGGAGTCCCACAGGGCTCGATTCTCGGTCCCCTGCTTTTTTTATTTTATATAAATGATTTACCTAAAATAATAAATAAGGATAATAACATGGTTCTATATACTGATGACACCAATATTATAATTACTGATACTAATAATGTAAACTTTGAAATAAATCTTAACCAAACTTTTAAAGATATAAACATTTGGTTTAATGTTAATTTACTTACTTTAAATTTAAATAAAGGCCAATATTTAGAATTTCGGTCCTTGAATTGTAACACAACAACACAAATTAATTATCATCAGGAAATTTTCTGCAGTGTAACAGAAACTAAGTTCCTTGGTTTGATTATTGATGATGTATTATCTTGGAAACAGCATATTGACCTAGTGATCGGTAGATTATCCTCTGCATGCTATGCATTCCGAAATATAAAACATATTGTATCATTTGCAACGTTAAGGCCAATCTACTTTGCTTATGTACTCTGCATCGTGAGTTATGGTATATCTTCTGGGGTGGCTCCTCACATGACACGAAAGTGTTCATCTTACAAAAGAAAATTATTAGAATCATAACGAACAGTAAACCTAGAGATTCTTGCAGGGATATTTTCAAGAAATTGAAAATATGTTATATTCTCAGTATATATACTCACTACTTTTATATATAATTAATAATAAACATTTATTTAACTTTACTAATGAGATTCATGAATATACAAATAGATCCCAAGGTAATTTACATGTACCTAGTGTGAATACTTCAAAATTTAATAAAGGAGCCTATANTCTGCATCGTGAGTTATGGTATATCTTCTGGGGTGGCTCCTCACATGACACGAAAGTGTTCATCTTACAAAAGAAAATTATTAGAATCATAACGAACAGTAAACCTAGAGATTCTTGCAGGGATATTTTCAAGAAATTGAAAATATGTTATATTCTCAGTATATATACTCACTACTTTTATATATAATTAATAATAAACATTTATTTAACTTTACTAACAAGATTCAAGAATATACAAATAGATCCCAAGGTAATTTACATGTACCTAGTGTGAATACTTCAAAATTTAATAAAGGAGCCTATATAACAGGTATTAAAGTGTTCAGTCATCTTCCACGATCAATAAAGATTTTGGTCAATGATGAGAAAAGCTTTAAATTTACATTAAAGAGGTTTTTACGTCATCATTCCTTTTACTCTATAAACGAATACTTTCAATATAAAGAAGACAAATCCAGATATTCTCTTGAATTGTTTGTTAGGTTGACTTTACACATGATGTATTACCCACTGACTAGTCACTTGGCATTTAAGGGTATAAATTTTATGGTAATATGGTACTGTAATAGACCCATCTGTTTTAAATAACATATGACTGTATACAATTAAGATGGTCATGAATGGTTTACTCACAGCTCATTTCCTTTTATCAGGTAGAGGAATATGATAATAAATAGTTCTCAAAATTTAAGGTTCTTGCTATGAAATGACTGATTGTATACACTGAATTTTTATTGTATATTCTAATTTTTAAATCCTAATGAAATGTACTATATTTGGACTGTTAAATTAAGTATTTGTAGTTATGTGATCAAAATAATTGCATCAAACTTCTATATTATGAATAAGTCTTTTGTATTGATTTATGATGGTGACAATGATAATCATATATCTGCATAAATTTGATCATATTTGAATATTTTATGTACAAATTTTGTATTGTGATTGTATTGCATATTGATGAGTTCATTGTTTTCATGTATGTGTTTATGTATTTTGACATATTCTATATCCTATGGCATGCGTCACCTGAAAAGGATCTATGGAATTTAAAATAAAGTGAAAGTGAAACTAATGGACTGCTCTGTAGAATAGAAGCCATTACCATCAGAATCATGAGTTTCAGCTGTCTCAGGTTCCTTAGTCTCTGGAGTGGGGTGGAGGGGGCGTCTCTTTGGAAGTAATGAAGACACCAAGTGACGGCGGCTATTGCTGTTTGTTGCAGGTGCAGCAGTGGTTTTCACTGCTCCAGTAATGTGTAACCTTGGACGACTGCGTAAACGTGTGAGTGCATCAGGAATTGGTGTTGTTACAGTTTCTTGTTGCTGTAAGAGGGAAAATTAAACTCGCTATTAAATCTCAAATAATATTAAACTGACAACTGACATGCCAGACTCCTTCATTGGATATTATCTTATGCTAGTTCCTACCAACTCTCCTGCTCATAACTCATCTCCTTAAGAGCCATTTTATTAATATTCCCCTCCCACCTCCTTGGTCTTCCAAGTGGTCATTTATCAGGAGGTTTCCTTACCAAAATTCTGTTAGCTTTCCATGTCTCCCGCAAATAAGATAATGCATGTTGTGTGAAATTGAATGCTGAAAAATTCAAATTCCAGGCTAACTGTATAATATGTCACAGCATATGAAAGAAACCAATGTTCAGTAAATGTGAAGAAATATACAATTATGCAACCAGTCATGGTGACACATGTTTACTTTAGTAACCATGTTTCTGCTGGCACAGTTTCCCTGGAAAGGGATTATATTGTACTTGAATTTATTATGTTTAGTTTCAAAAGGTCATTGTGATTGAAAATCACAACTTCATGCTTGGGATATCGTACACATTCATTTAATTTGGGATAGCCCAGTCAGTAACATGATGGTCTTCAGGCTGGATGGAATGAATCCTATTCCTGGCAGGGACAAAGGTGTTTATTTTGGCTGCCACATCTGAAACAGCTCTATTGCTCTTGTAATCTCTTATCCTTTTGCTACTGAACACGTTTTCTCCACAGTGAAGCAGGTAGAGCATTAAGTCTACCATCTGGTGCTATATTGTTCCAAGGATGCATTCATCTCATGGGGATTGGACACAGGTGTAGCTTGATATTTTTCTTCCTTTAATAAATATAACTTAGGTGTTGTGGATGTGGTAGAAAACATGATAGAAAAGAATATGACAGTGAGAAACTGAGTTATTTTATTGGAAATTTGATCATGTAATGCAAGCTTACAAGTCAGATGCACTTGGACTGTTTGTATGCAGCCAATGTTACCAAGTACTACTAATTTTAATGATAATGGATGTTGGTCAGTTTTCACTTTCTTTATAGGTGACTTATTCTTATAGCTCATTATAGCGTTAGGCTACGGGCTGGATGGCCCAGTTTCAATTCTGTACAGTGTAAGATTTTTCTCTCCTCTGCAGCATGCAGACTGATTCTGAGCTTCCTAGCCAATGGGTACTGGGGGCTCTTTCCCTGGACGTAAAGCTGCAGTGGTGTTAAGCTGGCCGCTCACCTACATCTAGTGCAAAGGTAAAGAAAGGTGATGCTATACCTCCACTTCACCATATGTCTTCATGGCATAGGACTTAATTAAATAAGCACAGGGACAGCTTTATCGTACTCAGTTCTTTTATATTTTATTGATTTGAAATATTTTCAGCAATTTAATTGAAATATTGCTGTATTATGTTTTTAACTAAAACATGTGACAGATCAGTATGAAATAAGAAACTAGTCACCCTAGTTGTACAGTACAGTGTTTTTATTAGTTTTAGTGTTATCTAAATTCTGATGGCCATAGCTCAAGTGGTTAGTCGCTGGCTTCCCACCGCGGCGGCCCGGTTTCGATCCCGGGTCTGGTCAAGTGGGATTTGTGGTGGACACAGTGGCGATGGGGCAGGTTTTGTCCGAGTACTTCGGTTTCCTCTGCCAATCTTCATTCCACCAATTGCTCTACAATCACCCTCACCTAACATCTGGGGCTGGTACGATAGGCCAGAAGTGGCCTCAGTACAAGGGACTTAGTCCCACCTTACTAGCAATAAAAAGAAATATCTAAATTCTCTATTTCTCTTAATCTTCTACATTATGCAATAAAAAGAGAACATAATAAATATTGAACATCACCTGAAACTAGTAGCCATATCTGCTGTCAGCATGGAAACCAAGTTTATTCATTTGATTGATTTTTAGTTCTGATGGCATGGTAGTCAATCATACCATGTTGCCACATACTGGTTTGGTTATAAGAACGAAAATTTAGATTTGTTATATAGTAAATGTATTTGGATCACACATCATAGAGTGTTAACAGTGGTGTACCTGAAAGATGTGTTCACGGGAAACAACAAAAATGAAACACTTGCATAAGGAATAAAGAAATTCTTGGGCCCAGAATATCCACATGATCATAGTAAAATCTCCCAGGCTGTAAGTCTGAGAAGAAATGAAGGAGAATGGAAATGTGTATTGTTGATTGGTAATTACATAAAATGTAATGTTTCAAACGTGTTCTGTATAAGCTTTGTAAAGCAAATATTGAATATTTTAGAAGAATAACTGTCCCATGTCAGTGGAATATGAATGTTATGTATTTTGAAACTAAAATTAGCGCATGTTGGTTGAAGAATTACTTAGTACAGATATTCTTTTAAGTATGAGTTTTGCCATGATAATGCAGGGTAAAAATTACACATGAAAGAAATTTTGAATATAATCTCTGTGTTACTTACTTCCTGTGCCTCAGACTGTGTATCATCAGCTGTTGTTGGATGACTTGCTTGCTCATTTCCTTCTTGATCGGACTCAGTGGGAGCAGCTTGTGTTATGGCAGCAGAAGCAGGGGCTACACCTGGTCTTGGGCGACCACCAATATTGATTTTTGGTCCAGGACGAAGTGGTCGAGGACCACCACCAATGTTTATTCGACCTCTAAAATATTCAGTATGTTGTGTGCTAAACAGGCTAGTATAAATACAACTAATGGGTTTCTGGACATTATCCATCATCCTGTTTTTTATTTAAAAAGACAATGATTTGGCCTGAGTGGGCTCCACCTGAAGATGGACACAGAATCCAGTCGCCTAAACGTCATGTGTTTTAGATAAAAAACAGATGATGGATAATGTCCAGAAACAATAATTGTATTACTATAATATCGTCACAGACTTTTATATCTTATTTAAACTGGCATAAAGGTGTGATTTTGTATCAATATCTGATTGGTTTGAATCAAGATTTATGAACTTGTGAGGCCAATATCTGGTTTATGATTAACACCAAATATAGAAGGAATGAGGAGGAATTTTATTCTAGCAGTTGCCTATTATGACTGATGATTCAGAATGTAAAATTTAATTTATTATTATTATTCAGATACCCATACAACCCAACTTAAAAAGCAGTTGTGTTCACGTAATAAGTCTTGAAATGTGAAATCAGACATATAATGTTAAGAATGGGAGTTACATTCCTGAGCAGGTATTTTTCTGTGGTAAATTTAATAATTTCCATTCTTCATCATTATTTAGAAGTAAATAACATAATATAGAAAAGGTATTCTGCCTTACAAGTATGGGATTAAATAAAATGAAATAAATTGAAAGCTATTATTTATTTGTTACAATACTGGAACTTGATAAATAATTCTTCTGAAGATCCCATAAAATGCTCAAATGAAGAATGTTGGAGGTATGTAGAAGTCAATTTCAAGACATTCCAAGAGTGAGGCCATTAACAGAGATTGGTGATGAATCTTGGTGAAGAGTTGTAATGTATGAGGCTGAGGGAGTTGAACTTACTTCTCGTAATTTAGTAGCTTGTGCTTTTTCTGGGTCTTTAAAGAAAGTAAGTGAACTGCACGAACATGTTCTGCAGAGAGTAAATGTTTCTGTGAATGAAACCAAAGATGTGTAAAAACAGGATTAATCATAATAATCTGAGCACACAATTAAAATAAAATGAATAGTGTTATGCATACCTTCCTGCTGTCCTAGGAGTGGTAATTGATGGTTCAGATACTGCAGCTGGTTCACTGTTATCTTCTGTACTTATGTTGTCTACTTTGGTTACATCACTAGATGGTGTTGATGTTGCTCTAGTGGGTCCACCACGACGCCTCGTATTATATCTATATAAAACAATGTAAAACATAAGGATTGAAGTATTTTCTGAACTGTTTTGGATGAAATTTATTGTTCTGATACTGATCTTAGGTAACCCCTTAATCCACTTGAAGAGGGGAGGAACTGATCAGGATGCAGATTTATAATGATTCAATAATTTTGTCAGTCACAAGTCTGGAATACTTCTTATCATTGAAACCATTCTTTAAACTAAATTTATGAATCATGGATAACTATATCTCATGTCAGCAGACTCATAACTGGATTCATAATAGAGTACTTCAGTCTATTTCCTAATATAATTATTTTACTTGTGTTCTGAAATATACCCACTGTATTGATAAGAAGCTCCATGGGGCACAGTTCTTGAGTAGAAGCATATAGTTACTCGTTAGACCAAAATGTTCTCTTCCCTTTATCGATCCTTCTTTACCCTGTTCAATTTGAATGCTATAATATTATTTTGTGACTGACAAATAACTGTTAACACCAAACAAATAATCCATTTTCTGAAAGTAATTCCACATGCCTGTCTGCAAACGCAGGCCGTTGTGCATGTGTTCCTGAAGTAGAACCCACATCAGGGGGTGCAGTAGTTGTGCTGGTTACCCTGGTGCTTCTTGTTGTTCCAAATCTTGTCCTAGGAAGACCATTATTCTTAGGCGCTGTTGAGACCACTTCCTTGCTCTCCTCTTTCACAGCCTCTTCCTCTGCTGGTTTTGATGTTGTCTTGTGTTGGCCACGTCGTCCAAATGATCCACCTCCAACTGGTGTCCTGTTATAACACAGTCATAGTAACAGGTAAAGCTGCTGTAATAAGAGTGTTTATGGATCTACAATAGAATTATTAATGAACACCACAACATCACTACTGGCACCCATAATTACATCTGAGAGCCAGTCCTCAGCACTAAGAATCATGGCAGTCTTCACCACTTCACCACACAAGGTGCAAAAATACAAAAAGAGTAGGGTAGGTTTAGATTCAGTGCTGTTTCTTTTCATGTTTCTAATAGAGATTTGCGAGCAGGAGTATATTTTCATTCAGATCCTCTGCCATAGAGATTGGCAATACTCTTGCCTTGGATTTTGAGAGATTTTTCCATGTTTTTTCACAGGTTCTGCAGGTAAACACTTTAATGCCAACATGAAATAGTCGTGACCATTTCCTTTCCACCCTATCTATTCATAATTTACCATTATCAACCCAGAGATATATAACTTCTGCAGTTGAAACAGTGTCATTAATAATCCAAGACTTATCACACAGCCCTGTGCTCACTTGTTAGAAGGATTTGGGAATATTACATTACTGTCAGTGGTGCAGAACTGCACTAATTACAGCTAAATGATTCACCTGTTGTTACCAAATCGACCTTTTGCCCTGGTGCTAGTTTCTACAGGGGCAGGTTCTGTTGTGGATGTAGATGCACCATTTTGACGGTACTTATTCTGTCCATTCTGTCCACGATGGCCTATCCTTCTAGGCTTGTAGCGATTACTGCCAGTAGCCTGAGTTGTAGGTGCTTCCGTTGTAGTTGTGGTAGTTGTGGGTGCCTCAGTTGTGGTTGTTGTTGTGGTAGTGGTGGTTGTCGTAATGACTGCAACTGTCGTACTAATGCCCTGATGATAATGTAAGATGATAAACTTATAAATTCTGTTTTCCATCTGGAACTCTTATATCTGCACCAGGTGGTATTTTTACTGCATGACACACAAGGAATCTTATATCTATGTTTCTCATTCTGCCTGGACATCATATCTAAGGAGACTGATAAAATACTTTTATTTCAGCTAGTGTGAATTTTAAGGTAAAAGCTGCATCCAATAGAATTGTTCACATATGCGCATGAATGAATTATGGTCCATACTAAACTTTACTGATGATCATAAGTCTTGTCTATATGTATTTGCCAGTATGGACTGCTGATATACACGACACATGGAATTTGGACTTAGAAAAAGGATAATTACCAGTATGTAAAAAAAAAGTAAAAGGTGTCCCTGTAACAGACTGTGGAGACCCATAGGGTTGTGAGATGCTGAGGCTTCCACATTTTCTAGACAATCAGCTCACAGATGTCTTGTAGCATTGTGCCTCAACCAACTATGCTACCACGTTCCCCCCATTACCGGTATGATTTAACTAATTTTAATAAACTGTGATAGTAAGATTTTTTAATATAATTGACACCCTACTACAGGCTGGAAGGTCACAGTTTCGATTCTTGATGAGGTCACTGGATTTTTCAATTAACCTACATCTTCCAGCCTCCCTATGGCCCTGGGGTTGACTCATCGTCTAACAGAAATGAGTACCAGGAATCTTCCTGGGGGTAAAGTGCGGCTGGTATGTGAGCCTGACCACCACACCAACATCTGTTAGCCAACTGTCCAGAAAATGTTGGAGCCTAGACATCTCACAATCCTATCGGTCTCCACGGCCTCTTATAGGGATTGCTTTACTTTTAATATAATCCAACATAAAGGTATCAGAAAAAAGCTTTATTTACTACATGATTTATGTGCATTGCTCAATTTGAGAGTCATTTAGATAAACTCAATGAAATTTAATGGAATTCATTTTCTTAACAGGCATTCTATTAAACTGAATATTTTGCATAAATTTTCCTATAGTTCACTTTAATAATATAGTACTGGAGTTGGTTAAAAATGAATTATTATAAAAATACTAAGTTATAATATTAAGGGTTAAGACTGGAATACCAAGAAGTCATTATTTACCTCTGTGGTGTTCTCCTTTACTTCATCATCCTCAAGTCTGCCCTCTGTTGCATTCTCATCTACAAAGTTACTGGCATTTTCATCTTGTGCCTGTTGAAAAATGGCATATAGATCCAATGCTGCTTTATCCATCACAGCGGCTGTTAATCCAATGTCTTCCTCTGTAGTTGAGACAGTGTTATCTGCTGTGGAATCTGTTTCTGGATTCTCAGTAACTGGGGCTGGTCTCCTATCATGGCTGACAGGTCCTCTTAGTTCATCTGTAGGAATACTTTCAGTATCATCATCATCAAAAAGCTTTTCATCTTCCTCTGACTCTGGAGGAAGAGATGATGTAGATGGTCTGTAAATAACATAAAATTTTCATACTATGAAATTAGCAGCTACAATCTTTTTCTACTTGTATGCAGTGTTTCTCATAGAGGTATCATATTATTAGCAACAAAGGCTTATTGTTTAAAACAGCACTTAATATTAGTGTAAGAAATCTGGAATATTGTTAAGTCTATAACTGGACAAAAATATGTGAAGCTTTGTATTCCAGTACTTACTAAACAGAAGTAGGGAACTATTGCAACTAAATAGGAACCAGTTAAAAATCCGGAACAGAACTATTGGCAAGGCATTGTCACATAAATGGGCATTTGCAGCAGAAGTTAGCTTATAATCCCACCTGCAGTAGGTCTCAAAACCCTAATGAAATGATTACATGTTTGTGCTATTGTGAGTTCTTTCTGGGGCTTAGTTACCATCAGGACTGTAGTCCATGGAATAAAAGTTCTAGATTGGTCCAACAGATAGTTATAGGTTTAAGTAAATTGGTATAAATCATGATATGAGGCTATTCTCATTGTTACTTAATGATAGTTTTCATTTTTAAATGCAGAATTGAGAGACATACAGCTCATAAAATGCACATACTTAATGACTGACAGTTCTACCTCAGAGATCAGAAATTAAACAACATGTAAGAACCGTGTACCCTTGTTAAGTAGATAGCAGTGTTCTTGAGGAACATGCTGTCTTTTTCTTCAGAGTCAACCCCAAAGATGACAGCACCGTGTTCCTCTGAAACATTAGTTTCCCCATACAGGCCATGATTTTAGACATGGTTTCTGGGTTGCGATGAGGAGAAGCATGTTAACAACTGGCAGGGCAGTGGTTGCATTTGCATTTTGGGAAGGAGAGAGGGCGAGTCATTGTAACTACGGCCCTATTATAACCCATACACACCATGCAATCTTAATTTCAGTTAGTGGACTTCACCAGATTCACTGTAGGGTGCCACCCCGAACTGCTCTTGTTTGACTACAGACTGGATGTTGTCATTTCAGAGCTTACTCATTGAACCTAAATGATAATTGTAGCTATAGTCAGTAAAGTATTGACATTTATTTATGGGTTACTAATGGTTTAATTATTGGTGATGCACAATAAGTTATGACTAGTCATGGTGCTTTGGTGGTGTGATGCCCACACTCTTCTAATCTATTCTAGTCAATTCTAGAAAAAAATAATTCCTTAAAATAGCCCCATCCTGAATTTATTTACTTCTGCTTATGATGCTTCCATGACCAAAACCTATTGTGACGCGTTACCTTGCATCCATCGCCGAGCAACAGCTACAATGGAAATTGTTGAGTTCCAACAGCGACAAATCGAATACAAACAGACCATTTCGAAGGAGGGTTCCCGAGGCAACGGATTGCCGAACACGTGAGTTTAGAATAGGCACTTTCATGGTAACGCAAAGAACAGGGAGCCGTTGTGTAGACAGTGCAGAAGCAACGAACGCGCCCCCCCCCCAAAAAAAAANGCGACAAATCGAATACAAACAGACCATTTCGAAGGAGGGTTCCCGAGGCAACGGATTGCCGAACACGTGAGTTTAGAATAGGCACTTTCATGGTAACGCAAAGACCAGGGAGCCGTTGCGTAGACAGTGCAGAAGCAACGAACGCCCCCCCCCCCAAAAAATGAACTACAGAGAGTTCGTTGCACCTATTACGTAACAGCGGACAGTAGAAACGAAACTTGGAGGAATGGTGTCTGGTATCGATAAGCGGAGCTTATGACACGTACAGAGTATTGAGTATTGAGAACGAGACAATCTTGGGATAGCCACCACCAGAGACAGTTGAGATCCAACCACAGCCAAGGATAGTTGAGATGTCGCATTGGATTACTGGACCAGAAGTCAAGTGACACTGCAAGTGGTGCAAATGGTGATAATTGTAAGGTGTGTAAGTGTGAGTGTCCAATAAAGATTCGTTAAATCCGAGACCCATGTAAAGTTATTTGTCGCGTGACATACCCAACACATGACAGTATTTTGAAGTCTTCTGAAATATCTTCTGTTTATTGAAGAGTTGTTGAGTAAGGGAAGGAATTATTAGGAGTTATGTCAGGAGAAAAAGCAAATTTATCTCCGTGAATTGAAGATTGATTTAAACCTATTTCACAGATGGAATTCTGTGGGCTGGTGCAATTTACTTGGCCACAGATGCAACACTTTGTCCAAAAGTTTGGTCTTCACATACTTGCTCAGATACTGAAAAACGTTCAGGCAGAATATATACTGTCACATTGGAGGAAATGAGAAATGCGTAGAATGTGTTTTGAAAATCCTAAGAAATGAGAGCACTTAGGAGATTTTAATGTAGGTGAACGATAATATTAAAATGGATCTTAGAGAAATAGGGTACAAAGATGTGACTGTATTTGATTGGAAAAAGTTATGGTCCCATCAAGCAGGCTGGTCTAGAGATAGTGTTCTACACTTACATTTTGGAGGTACTTGGTTTGAATCTTAACCAGGACACCAACTATCCCCAGTGAGGGTTTTAATTTTCCTCAGTTCCATCAGGAAAATTCTGGGATAATACCATGATTATGCCTTGAGTGCTGCCTTCTAAATGCATTCCAATTCATCAGTCATACTGTAACCTGACATGGTATAATCTTGACACTGAAAATGTCATTATATAACTTACAAAGAATAAAAGATATTATCCACTGTCAAATATGGTGATGAAACTTTGGCTTCTATAAAAGCATGGGACTTCTTGATCATCTGAATATCCAGCAACTGCTCAAGATCATGTAACATGAAGTGAAATACAGAAGCATTAAATATTTTATTTCTGTCAGCAATAAATATAGAACATCACTGCTGTTTTATACCTGCGTATGTGAGGTGCATGTCGGTTGCTAGTTGTTTCTGTGTCTGCATTTTCTGCTGCTGCAGAAATTGTTGCAGTGCCCTGATCACCTCTCCCTCTGACCCTGCTAGAATGATGCTTGACTTCTTTTTCTGCACTCTCTTCATTTGGAGTTACTCCAAGGAATCTAAATGGTCCTGAAATATTGTGTCAAGAGTACTGTATCATAATCTTTATTTGGTTAGTATTAGATAGATAGGAGAAGTACAAGTACACTCAACTCTCGATTATCCAGGGCGGATAAACTGGTTTGCGGCTTAACCGGGGTTTTTTTGAGGCTTATATGTTGTTTAATATTCATTCACTTTTCTTTCACATGGTGAGTTGTAACACTATTTTCGCACTAGTGTGAACTGAGCTCTGCATTTTTTGGTCCCGTTATGCTAACACAGTGTTCAAGGATAGGGGTGAAAGAATGCAAGGATTTGTGGAAAATTTCAATACACCGCCCCAGTTAGTCTCTTTTTATTGATCTTCAAGTGCGTTAGCGTGTTGTGTTAAGTATTCAACAGAAACTTGTGTGGGCCGAGCTTCCAAATGTTAAGCAGTGATGAAATCATAAGTTCAGTGGGGGTGCAGCCAGAAGAGCGGGAAGAAAGTGAGAATGAGGAAGAGGTGAACAGTGCTGCTAGTAAGAAAATATCACATGGTGCTGCTCTTAATCATTTGGAATCCTTACTAGACTGTCTTGAGAGTGAAGACAGTTTATTAAGTGACAAGCTAATATTACGTAGGCTTCGCTTGGATATCCGTAAAAAGGAATATGCCGCGAAAAGGCAAACGACAATATTACATTTTCGTAAGTGTTAAGTGCGAATATTCGTAAACAGTGTTGGATGTTGTTGAACACTGGGATTGAAATAACTAATTCATGCTTCAGTGTAATGTAAAAAAGTATTAAATAGGCCATGAGATGACATAAAAATGAGATTGAATAAATTTAAATACAGGTAGGCCTATAGTATTATGAAGGTACAGTATTACAGTACTACTTTGAATAAAATTTGTCTTAACCGGGTTTTCGATTAATCGTGATTTCCATCCCTCCCATTATCCTGGATAATCGAGAGTTGAGTGTATAATGTATGTGTAAGTTTCAAGTTTCCCATACTGATTCAGAGCCAAGTAGCAAGAAAGAAATTAGTAAAGGGTTAAATTGTTTCTCACATTTGAGACATGTTTGACTTTCTGTGTTATGTATAGAACACTGTACTGAAATGTAAGTTTACATAGGTCAAGAAGTGTAATTACTAGTGTAATAAAGTTGAAAAATATATACTCAACTCTGTATTGGGATCAATAATATAAGAGAATGGCTCATCTGACCTTGAAATTGAAAAACGAATGAGTGAAATAAGACTTATTTGTATGATAAATTCAGTTTTATGGAACATAAATATTTTACACTTAATATATAAATCAGTAATAAGAAAGTATATTAACATAGTGAGCTGAAACATGGTCAATAAAATGGAAATGCAGACATAAATTAGTAGCCACAGAAATGGATTATCTAAGGCATTCAGCAAGAATATCATGAATGGATTGAATTAGAAATGATATGATTAAAAATGGAAATAAAGAAAGACAGCAATTAAGATGGTATGGCCAAAATGTGCAAATGGAGGACTGCAGAATTGCTAGACAGGTTGCAGAATGAAATCTACAGAGAAAAAGGAGGTGTGGCAGACCAGTCAAAGCATGGAAGGATGGGACTGGGGGCAGCATGCAAAAAAGAAACCTCAAGGATGAAGAATGTTTCAGTTGAGAGCTCTGGAGAAAAAAATTATGACTTTGGGTTGAGGAAAACTATGTATTCAAAGAAAAATTCCTTTAATAATGATAAAATTAATGCATTTGTCTTATTTACTAGGAAAAGTGAGTATTTGTGTATAATTCTGTTCATATATATAAATTGTATCTAACATGCTAATTATTTTGAGCAAACCAAATGATTTTCATGAACTATAGTATAAATTAATTACATTTTCATTTATGAATAAAATATTTATATATAAACTATTGGTTGTTTGTCTTCTCCTGTCCTGCTGTTTAAGGCATGGCAGAGGGTTAAAATAAAAACAAACATAGTTAATCTATGACAACAAGGTGTGGATTAGTTTCAGTGAAGGACCTGCTCTTCTACTGTCTTTGGTTTGTCATCATGAATGTAGGGCATTAATTGCTGCTAAGAACAGTAAAGAAAAGCAAAATTAGCAATGGCTTGATAAGCCCATATGACTTCACTGAAATAAACTGACACATATATAGTTGATATGCACTTTCTATTCTGAAAATGAAGAGAATTGCATTTTAGTTAGGTGACTAAGTTAAGATCTTCAGATATATATTAAAGGTTGATGCTTCTGAAAACATTGTGACATATATTAATGATCAGATTTGGTGTAGTTACTAGTAGGTACAGAAGGTGACAACAGTGTCAAAAAAACATAAAAATTGAAATATAAAAAACTATAATTTTTCCTTTGGTTCTGTATGGTTGTGGAACTTGGTCTCTCACATTAAGGGAGGAACATAGGCCGAGGGTGTTTGAGAACAGGGTGTTGAGGAGAATATTTGGACCAAAGAGAGATGATGTGACAGGAGGTTGGAGAAAACTGCATAATGAGGAGCTTCATAACGTGTACTGTTCTGCAAGTATAATTAGAATGATCAAGACAAGGAAGATGATATGGGCAGGGCGTATAGCAAGAATGGGGGAGAGGAGGAATGCAAATAGGATATTGGTGGGAAAGCCAGAAGGAACGAGACCACTGGGAAGATCGAGGTGTAGGTGGGTGAACAATATTAAAATGGATCTTAGAGAGATAGGATGGGATTGTATGGCTTAGATTGATCTGGCTTATGACAGGGACCAATAGTGGGCTCTTGTGAACACAGTAATGAACTTTTGGGTTCCATAAAATGCTGGGAATTTCTTGAGTGGCTGCACAATTGGTGGCTTCTCAGGAAGCTTTCAGCTCCATGGGTGAGTGAGGTGGCAGCAATAATCAGCATTGAAAGTTATACTTGAATCAGTATTGACTGCATTGTCCATCTTTGCCAGAAGCAGTTCATATGGTACATAGTGCTACCAGATTAATGCATATTACTGTTCTATTAAGGTAATATCCTTGTATAAATATAGCTGTCTTTACAAAACGTTTTGAAGAGCAATAATAAGTAAGAGTGGATCACAGTGAAGTATAAGTTTTTGTGCGCATGTTTGTGGTATAACCTCTCAGCATATATGACTATCACAGCTCTAGCTGTTAACTTTATTTCATTCACCTGATGGAAGCACCGAAGGGAATGAAGGTGGTTGTGATGTAAGATCCTGGCCGCGTGATGCATCGCTAGAATGTGTTCTGAATGAGCTGCTGTCTACCAGTTCTAGACTGGGGCGCCTTACACCATTGGTGGTACTGGATGCTCCATTACCAGATGATGATCGTCCTCTCGTAGCCAGTGCTTCTTCAGAGGATGGAGTAGTGACTGTTGCACTGTTGTGATTAGATCGTGAACGTGGGGGAAAGCGAGTGTTGGCTGGTAGACGCTCCTCAGCCACAGGTGTGGGTTCATCAGGAGGCTCAGGCGTTGTTTGCAGAGTCAGCTGGCGGCCACGGGACCTTGATAGATTAATTCGAACGTGTTATATATATAAATTATTGCTAAAATTTAAGGCAATTAAATCCTACTTAATGTGCTGCATTAAATATATATATTGCCATTAATAGTTTGTAATGTAAATTATCAACTAGTAATCAGGAGCAGTAATGAGAGGAAGTAAATATAATGTGAGATTTATAATTTCAGTGAAATCGTTCTGTTACAAAAACTGTTGTACAATAACATAATTAAAATGTGGAAAGGTGTAGTGTATTCTGAATGCTTTTTATAACATAAAACTAGCTAAAGCACCTTGTCATTTTCTGGGTTTTCTGACACTGGAACTGAAATAATGAGTTCCTTATATCGTACGTCCTAAAATGGTCATGTTTAATATTCATAAGTTTGTAGATTAGATTAATCTTCAACATGTATCCATAACAAGCTTCATAAGCAATGTAATCAATAGCTGCCCCACCAAACACAAGATGTTAATGTCCTTCAAGAAACAAACACTGAATTAGCCTTTGTGTCATTAAATTCAGTTCTAAGATTAAAAGTTTATACCTTAACTCATTTTTCTATTATTTACTACTATGGTGCAACATAGTGATAAGCAGGACCCGGATTTTGATGACATCATCTTTTCTTCCTTGTATCCTATGCGATGCCCTTAAATATATAAATCTCAGATATGAGCTGCTGGTTACAGAAATGTAAATTTTATAGGTAATTTTTTGTCATTTTTTTACATTTTTAAGTTTAAGGTCATTTTTTCATTTTGGGGGTAATTTTTTGGTAAATTTTTGGACTTTTAAGGGTATTTCTTGCCATTTTTGGCCATTTTAGGGAATTTTTCTTCATATGTTTTCTGAAATGTGAATAACATGGAAGCGAAGTGTTCTTTCTTTTCTCCTTTAGATCATTTTTCTGGATTTTTTCGGTCATTTTGTAGATCATTTTTTTAATATTTTCAGGTCATCAAAATCCTGGCCCTGCATATTACATTTTTGGGTCATATTTTAGGTAATTTTTCTGGATATTTTTGGTAATTTTATGGATCATTTTTTAAATATTTTCAGGTCATCAAAATCCGGGTCCTGGTGATAAGCCTTGTAAATAACAAACATCGCTTTGTGCGTTAAACTGTGTCATTGCCTAGCAACATAACAGTGGTGCATGTTGATCACAGCGACAAAATTTACAAGATCGAAGGAAATGGAGAAGCGGAAGGATTTTATTTTGTAGGGTAGTGAAAGTGCGTATTCTTCACCGAGACTTTTCTAAAAACAAACTTTATATGAATAATGAACTTCCTTATCTGGGAGTAATGGGGAGGGTTTCATGTGCAGGTATAATTTGATTATTGAGATTTGGCTTGTGATATTTTTATTATTACTAAAACATATTTCTTATGTCCATGGTTTATGCTGACCGTCTTACAGTGTATACACTTTTTCACCTTATTCTTCACTTCCACACTACAGTAACAGGAGCAAAACACAACACAGAACACGATACACAAATATATGTAGGAAGAATGCTCACATAAAAGAGGATTGGCGTAATTCGCGTGTTTGATGCGACGTAGGAAGAATCCTGAAAATGTTATTATTTAGAGTTCATCGTCCTATATGACGAATACAGATTTTAGTCATTTTAAAATGAAGACATTATGGCATGCAGTACAATAGTTTAACGTGCATAAAGACACCTGAAGATGGCACATTAGTGCTGAAACATGTAGTGTGGAAGTGAAGAATAAGGTGAAAAAGTGTATACACTGTAAGACGGTCAGCATAAACCATGGACATGAATCAGTGTAGCAGGACGCTAAAATATAACGTATTTCTTATACTAGAATAATTTTTTTAAATATATTAGTGAGAAAGCGTAATGAACACTTGCAGAATGAGGAAGTTAGTGTAGTTATTTTCTGCTTTATATACCTTGATCCACGAGAAGGTGGCAGCACCTCATTTGATGATTCTGGGGCCACTGTTGTACTCGCTTCCCCTCTGTTTCTCTCAATTGTTGTGTAGCGTTGCCTTCCATTACTTGGTTTCCCTTCCAGTTGCTCAGGATGATTTTGCTGTTCTGTTACCCCTTGAGGCTGACTCCTGTTTCTGCTACGTCCTCTTGTAGCTGCTGCATGATTTGCCTCTTCATCAGTGTCCTTGTGAGATGCTGATGGTAAATATCGTTTTCCAGAAGTTGATGTTCTCTCTGTAGTGGTAGAAATGGTTGTGGGTGGACTTGCAGAAACATGTGACTTCTCATCAGCTGTGGCAATTGTATCGTTATCTTCATCATCGTAATAATAGTAAACATATTCATACTCATAATCTTGTCCATTTGGACCTTTCTTTACTTCAATACGTGATTGCTGGTTACTTGATGAACCTGCTGGGACAAGAAGCTTATCACCAAGTGGAGAGTCGACAAAATCAAGATCTTTTTCATGTTCTTTCTTTGTTTTGTCTGCTACAAGATTTACTGGAATTATGTCAAAATTTGACTTTGTGAGCCCTGTAGTTGTGCTTGTTAACGGAAGCACTGTTGTGGTTGTCACTGTGTCAGAATATGGTACTTCCATTTTCTGAATTGGTACTGAAATTTCACCTTCTTTGGTTTCAAATTTTGGACTTGTAACACCAACTTGAGAAACAGGTTTCACTTGTACGCTTCGAATTAGGCTCTCATCAGATTCTTCTACAGCTACATCAGATATATTTCTGCTTTCCTTGCCCCGTTCTACACTCAGTTTCCTTTGCATTACTTTATGTACATCTGGTCCATTCATTTTCTCTTCAATTACTCCAGAATCACCTTTAGGTTCAATTTTAACTATTGGGATATGTTTTGCTGATGGGACCACTTTCCTAGGTTTACTTGTTACTACAGAATATTCAGTTCGTATCTCTTCATATTGAGGTTTTATCTTGGGGTCAGTCTGTGGCAACAGCTGATCAGGGGTAAGAATGGTCTCAGACAATAATCTGAGCAAGGTATCCCTATTTAGTTCTTGATTTTCATCAGTAGGACTTTTTTTTTGCTAGCTGTCTGTGGAACGTTTCACTAAAGGTGCACGATATTGAGTGATTTTATGAGATGTTGAGAATACATTCTCAGGCTTGATAAGTGGTGATGATAATGAAGACTTGTCAGTACGTCCTTGACCAGGTATCTTATGTGAAGTTGAGAAGCCTGGAAATAATGTTAAGAACAGAGTTGGTTGCTACACTTACATATTTGCTGTGACTTAAGAATTTGTGGGAATTAATTTATATTAGAATCTTCTACTAATTGGAAACAATAAATAAAGGTAAAATTTGAGGTTTTCACGATGGTGACTATGAATAATGCCATCTTCTGGAATGTGATGCCCTGTAGATATTGTGTAAATTGACAGTCCTTGGAAACTCTGGTTTACTCAATATATACCTGGCGCCACATCCCAGAAGACGGTATTCTTAAAAAAATGAAAGAGTGTTATTTCTAGTTTGACAAGATGTCATTGAGATGTTCTAATTTATTACAGTACTGTTGCAATGATCCATACAGAGTGTAACTGAAGAGTACCGTGCTATGGTGTGTGATACTGTATAGTCTGGTAGAAGTTCATCGACGTTTTTGAGGAATATACTGCTTGCATTGTGTATTTCCATTTTCTGTTTTGCATATGGAGGACTGACAAATGTACGAAAATACTCCACAGAGTTGCAAGTGTGACTAAAAGTTGGGGTTATACTCTCTTGTTTAGTTTTACAGTTTTCACTATTGAAACTACAAACAATAAGATTATTTATTATTATTGTGACGTGTATCCTAGAGGTAGGTAATTAAATGGGCAAATCAGCTATCTTGAAGTTGAAATGATTGGTTCAAAGAGATATAGACAAATGGTAGACTGTTTTGGAATAATATTTGTTAATTTATTAGTCGTTTAGTAACAAATATTGCCATTATTCGCCACCCAAGATATACAATACAATAGCTACTCCATTTGAGTTTTGGTCACTGATAATATTACTTTTTATGTAACAGTTCATATCTGAAGTATTAAGCATTTGCATTTGTTTCGTTTTATAAGTTTACCAAGTTGTTTTCATGAGCAACATGAATACAACCGAACACTCACTGAAGTGTCCAACAAATAAATGAAATTTGAGCCGAATCACATTTTGGAACGTATAAAAGTTCCTTATGCACAATTTTAACCCCCCATGTATTCACCTTTCACAGCATCTCTTTCCAGTTGCTTTGAATGTTTTTGTGGGATCACCATTTTCCCACTTTGGAACAGTACATATTCTTCTCCTGGTGAAGGCTTAGTGATTATTTTAACAGCTTCATCAGCTTGTGGCCTTCCCAGGGCGTTGTGACTCAGTGTGTTGATAAGGAGTAATAGCAGCATTGACCTAGAAACATTGATAAAAGTAAGAATTTATTTCAATAACACATGTAATTGTTTACAGTATGCCATTTATGTGCTTAGTAGAATGGAAAATAAACTGTATTCTACTACACATTTTTATGGGGCATGTGGTAGTGTAGATTGGTGAGGCACTATGCTACAAGCTGGAGGGTCGAGGGTTTGAGTCCCGATGTGGTGGATTTTTACAATTTACCTAATCCTACCAGCCGCACTATGGCCTGGGTGTCGACTCAGCCTCTTAACAGAAATGAGCACAAGGAATCTTCCTGTGGGGTAAAGGGCTGCTGGCGCATAAGGCTTACAACCTTTCCGCCATCTGTGAGCCAATTGTCTAGACAAAATGTGGGAGCCTCGACATTTCTCAACCCTGTGGGCTTTCATGGTCTGTTAAAGGGATAGCTTTACCTTTTTTTACCTTTTACACATTTTTACACATTGTACTGAATATAAAATCAATAAGTTCTGGAAATAATTAATTGCCTATTTACCTTTGACACGACATGAACTGCATAGAAAACGACACTACCAGCAATTCTATTCTTACGTGTGTATTCGTTGCCGCAGTAACGGTTTTACTGAGATGCTGCCTAGCAATGATAAGGGTATACACACACCATCTGATGCGAGGGTTTTATGAAGTACGCCATTGAGACGGGCTCAAATGCCGTGAAATACATACTAGGTTTTATAAAGATTGGTTTAGCCATTTAAAAATTAATAGGGCGAATACAGAGACAGCACGGTGATCTTATAAAAAAAAAAAAAAAAACGTGGTTTTAGTCCGGAAGGGAACTATACCGAGCGACTGCCGCTTGTCGGCGAAGTTAGTGCCAACTTTGGCGGATAGAGGGTGTCGCGTGTTCGGCACAACGAATCCCCACGGCCGTTAATTTCGAGTTTCTAGACCTGTTCCTTGAAACAGCTCCTCAATGATCCTCACGAGGCTGAGTGGACCCCGTTGCAGACCCACTACTTCTCAGTAAATCTGGTAGCGCCGGAAATCGAACCCGGACCTCTGGATCTGTAGCCAGGAACTACTAGACCACAGAGGCGGACTGGTGATCTCATAAGTAGGAGGAAAGTAGGAGGCTAATAAAGCAATGAAGATAACGTGCAGAAGAGTAGCAGTTCTTAATGACAGCTGATGGAGAATAAACTAGAAAAAGGTAATTTTGTCCTTATGCGTAAACGCGGATTCACCCCTGTGTAAAGACGTAAAGGGGAGCGGAGAAGTAATTTCACGCTTTCTTAATCTCGGCATTAGACGGAGGCGAGTGGGCAGCTTCTCTCTCCGGCCGTTTTACACTTCCGGCACCATTTGGATAGGAGGTTGGCTGGAACTAGAGCCGGTCTGGACACTGGAGATGAGCCCTTAACACAGTCGGAATGCCGTCTGAGATATTGCGACGGTTGGGAATAGTAAGCTATTTATATCTTTCTGTCAGTACTGTTTGCATGAATTAAATCAATTTATGACGAGAGGGATATACGAGTATGTTATAAATGGGACAAAGAAAGAACGTAGAGAAATTTGACAACTAACGCTTGGAAGAATCACTTGTAGGATGAAGGGTTAGAGGGTGTAGAGTAGATTGAAGTTTTCAAAAATAGTGTCTGAGGGCTGGATTGTAAATGTGATAATGAAAGTTCTTGTTCCACAATATGCTACGAGTTTTTTTTTCTTTTTTTCTTTTTGCCATTTAAGCGACTAGCATCGTTCCAAGAAGACCTCTGCTTCGTGGAACTAGTTTAATTAACGCTGGGATCCCGGTGGTATATATTACGCACGTAATAACAGAATTTTAAACTGCGTTGATGTAAACTGCAATTTTCGCTATTATTACTCACTTTTACTTTCTTGAAACATTGTCATGACATTGCAAAATGAGGGTCAACGGCACATACCAGGAACGCGTTATAATGTTCGAAAGTGCTTGAAAATGACAGACAGGATTCCTAAGTGAAAGTTTACTATTCAGCAGTCTACGATAATCTGGTGTTTAATGTGATTACATGATCAAGAGCTATGCTTCATAAACGTTCACACCGAAAATTGAATTATAGCAATACCTCGCATAGTCCGGCTTCACTATAGTTCGGTTTGAAAATTTCAAAACAAACTAAATTTTAATTGAGCAAAATAAAAATAAATTCTAAAAAATTAGTATACAAAATTATTTTTAGTATATAAATGATCGTTTTTCCCCCTTTATACAGTCAAGTCTCTTTTTGTGCGGTTTATTTTTTTGTGATTTTAAAGTTATGCGATACGATACATATTTAAATTTTTTCTGCGATTCCCCGTTGTACACGTATATGTATGTACCTATGCTCGGGTCGCTCGTTCTTGAGCTCTGACAGCTATCGCTGGAGGAGGTGCGGAGAGCACTACTTTAACGGAATTTTGGAAGAGCTACAACATCAGAAGCGTTATCGAAAATATAGGCGAAGCCTGGCATGAATTAACAGCAAGCAATATGAGGGTACTATGGAAACATATCATACCTCATTGTGCAAATGATTTCATTGGTTTGGAAACTCATCTTGCTGAAGTCACTAATAACATAGTGGAAACTGGACAGCAACTTGGTTTCAGTGCGTTAGATTCCGTCAGTGTAGTTGAGTGCATCAAAGCGAACACTAATGAACTAGATAATGAAACACTTATTAACATAGATGAACAACGGGAGAACAACTTAGACAACGACGACTGTGTTGAAGTGCCTGCACGAGAATTAACAGCTGAACAACTATAAAAAATGATTGGAATTGTTGAAACCTTGTCAGAGCATATTATGGAAGCTGATCCCAATGTTGAACGTAGACTTACAATTCGCCGAACGATAAACAATGCAATTCGTTGCTACAAAGAAATGTATGAAGAGAAAAGGCCAAAGAAGAAAAATGTGCAGACTTGCAATTTTTAGAGGATAAAAAATGAATTGCGAAAAACATTAATTTTTTAAAATTATTTAAAATTTTGGAACCAATTGTCATTTTTTGCATGTATTTAGTTCCTCGATTAGTCCGGTTTCAAACAGTCCGGGATATTGGCGGAACCGATTACCCGGACTATGCGAGGTATTGCTGTATTTCTTTTTATTTTTGCCTAAAGAGTCCACGAGTAACTTCTGCAGGTATTATTTGTCACATTACAGGTAGACGCCTTTAACTGAGCGTTTTACTCGATCTAGGTGTCCCCTAGTATACATAATTCACTCATTCATGGAGCTAAGTACTTTTTGATAAGCTGCTAATTGTGCAGCCACTCGAGAATTTCCCAGCGTTTTATGGAATCAAAAGGTTCATTACTGTGTTCACAAGAGCCCTCCACTGGCCCCTATCCTGAGCAAGATCAAGCCAATCTATACCATCCCATCCTATCTCTCTAAGATCCACTTTAAAATTGTTCACCCACCTACGTCTTGGTCTTCCCAGTGGTCCCCTTCCTTCCGGCTTTCCCACCAATATCCCATATGCATTCCTCCTCTCCCTCATTCGTGCTACATGCCCTGCCAATCTCCTTCGCCTTGACTTGAACATTCTAATTATACTTGGAGAAGAGTACAAGTTATGAAGTTCCTCATTATGGAGTTTTCTCCAGCCTCCTGTCACTTCATCTCTCTTCGGCCCAAATATTCTCCTCAACAACCTGTTCTTAAACACCTACAGTTTATGTTCTTCTTTTAATGTCAAGAGACCAAGTTTCACACCCATACAGAACCACAGGCAAAATAATAGTTTTGTATATTCTAATTTTTATGCTTTTAGACAGCAGATGAGAAGACAAGAACATATAAAAGATTTAAAAGTAATATAGAAACATATAGATGTAGGGTAAGTGATTAGACAGTGAAAGAAATTTATAATAGAAGCAAAGGTATACGTGATTGCATTACGTAAGGCTTACTTGAACTCACTGGTGCAGGTTGCTAAGTAAGCTGGAGAACAGTTTTCCTTCCTTGCCTTTATTTTTCTCAGAAGTGCAGAAGCGCATACGAGTATAACAGGCACATCCCTAACACTACCACGAGCGCTAGTCCATATCCCTTGTGGGAATAATGTTAGAGACATCTGGGCAAAAGCGGGTTCGCTATTTTCGCAACCTACCGCCGAAAACAGTAAATCGCCCTTAAGCAGCCAAATGTCACGCCAAAATCCATAACAATGCGATTGGGGGGTGCTTCGTTTAAAAGTAATATGCAACAATATAATTCTAAGGTTGCTTAGTCTTAAGGAAACTGGACAGCATAATTACTGCAAATGATTGATTTTTATGTATTTTAAGGTCGCGCCATAGCTCAAGCGGTTAGTCGCTGGCTTCCCATCGCGGCGGCCCGGGTTCGATCCCGGGTCTGGTCAAGTGGAATTTGTGGTGGACAAGGTGGCGCTGGGGCGGGTTTTCTCCGAGTACTTCGGTTACCCCTGCCAATCTTAATTCCACCAAATTCTCCATCATCATAATCACCCGGGGCAGGCTACAATAGGCCAATCAGTGGCCGCCGTGCCGAGTGGACCCAGTTAGACTCCACCTCCCCCTAAGCGAATTTTTATGTATTTAATAACATAAATAAGTATATGCAGAATTCATCAGTTGGTAATTCAGTTTTGGAGCATTCCCCTAATTTTTATGCCCACCACTTCCGTGTTTGGTGCATAATTTTGGAACCACCTCATTAAACAGTGTGATGGACATGTTAAAAATAGGTTCACAAGACGTTTTGGAGGTCCCTCCGAAATCGAAGCCCTAAGCCTTCGCTTCGTCCGCTTATTGGTAAATCCACCTTTGGATCGAGTTATATTGTTTTTTTAATTCCTGTCATCAAAATTAAGACTTTAGTTGGGAAAACAAGAATTATAATTTTATATTCCCCTGCAGTGATAATCTAAGAGTACAGCCACTCCTTCACCAGAAACAACTGCCTGTTGTAACCATGGCCACAGTCCTGACGTTCAGGTTTATGTGAACTTTGTACGCAGGTG